CCCGGATCTTCGGCGTGAGGAGCGAACGCTTTAACCGCTAGGCTACCCGACCGCCCCCCTGTGGCGTACAAGGATACCCCATCGCCCTCATACTTAAAGGTATTTTAACCTGCATGGATATGTGATAAATATTAATGTTTGATATGTACATTTCATCTACATGTATGTTAGATTGTGAATATAAATTGCCAGTGCAAGAGAACAACCACTCTAAATTAACCACCGAAACAGATTCCATTTGGCGTAAAGGGCAAAATGGCTGTGAAAATTATATGAATATGAATGGACCACTGAAAATCAGTGATGACACAAGGTGTTCGTGAAAAGGGCAAGCATGTCCTGCCCTACAGGTAGAACCCGTCATCCACACAATTTGTAAGTACTGATTGCCTTCACACCGTAGGCACATGTGCATGAATTGAGTTCATAGTTGTGGGTCAGTTGTGGAACTGAATTAAAATCAACTTCAGGACTTCACGTATATTGTCTATTCCAGTACCTTAACCTCAGATACGTTTAACGTTCTATTTTAATTTTTATATGACGACGTGTCAGTGTCATGTCGGAGAAAAACAAAACAGAAACCGAATTAGGATTCGGGGAATGTGTGTGTGTGTGTGTGTGTGTGTGTGTGTGTGTGTGTGTGTGTGTGTGTGTGTGTGTGTGTGTGTGTGATGGATTAGTACCACAGATCAACAGATCCTTGAATGAACAATGTACAGTAAACTACGGTTATAACGAACTCAAAGGGACCACTAATTTTAGTTCGTTATAACCGTAGTTCGTTATAAGCATATATGCAGCATAACTACAGCAAATAATAGGGACCAAACAAGTAAGTTCGTTATATCCGTCAGTTCGTTATAAGCGTGTTCGTTATAACCGTAGTTTACTGTATTCAATTATGCATATAACCCGTGAAGATCCGGGTCTTCAGCAACCAATGCTTGCCGTAAAAGTCGACTATGCTCGTCGTGAGAGGCGGCTAACGGGATCGGGTGGTCAGACTCGCTGACTTGGTTGATGCATGACTTTTTTTGTCATCGATCCCAATTGCGTGGATCGATGCTCATGATTTCAATCACTGGATTCGATTATTTCCAACCGTGAGGCGTTAAACAACAAACAAACAAAATATAATCAAATATGCATATAGAATTGCGACACATTCGACAGGTTGCACATTATGTTTTTTCGAGTCAAAATATGAGGGACGGACGGGTAGCCTAGTGGTTTAAGCGTTCGTTCGTCACGCCGGAGACCCAGGTTCGATTTCCGAAATGGGTACAATGTGTGAAGCCCATTTCTAGTGTTCCCTGCCGTGATATTGCTGGAATATTGCTAAAAGCGGCGTAAAACCATACTCACCCAGTCACTCACCGAGAATGCTTAATTTATTCATGTTTCCTTTCAAAAGCTTTAAAAGTTATACAACAAAAAACATTAAAAAGTTTTGTGAAGATGTTTTGCGGAGGTTGACACGTGAATATAAGCATTATATCATAAGTGATCGTTTCCCCTGATTGTGCGAATTTAATTCTTCTTCTTGAATTGACGTGAAACTATGGACACCTTCCTACTGATTTAAAAAACGCACTTGCCTTTCTTTTTAATTTAACAGATATCATTCGATGGTACTGTCTGCAGCTCAAAGAAAACGTTTTAAGGCGTCAATGATAAATGATCGCCTGTCTATTCGGACGTACCAGTGAATAAAAACAATATGTGATTGATATAATTCATAGTTATTTTGTTGAGGAGGATGTCACACACAGTAATCATATCAAAATGAAAAATGTAGAAAATGGTGTTTTCATGTTAGAGATAGGCACTTTCCCATTTTGCGTTTGTTTGATAGATGATTCTATCAAATTACAACGAAACGTACATTAGGTTTGAGCCGAGCTACTCTTCAGTTTGCGAAATAGTGAAACAGACACGCTCTCAAATGACGTTGACATCTGAATGGGTGTATGGGGACCATCGTGAGTTATTGAGTGTGTGTGCACGTGCCCAACTCTCGCGCTAAGTCCCGCGCTCGAGACCACTCTACGCGCTGAGCAGCAAATTACTTCAGACCATTTCGGGGCTGCATTTCCTGCCAAGAGAGATGTGATCCATATGGTCGGCACGAGTTATGATTTATATGAATTAGTGATACACGTTCTTCTGTTTTGGGTAAGTGAGGTAGGCGGGTGGTTGATATGGATGATTGATGATCTGCGTTTTGTTGTTTACGTTACGTTTTCACCTACTTAAATGTATCATAACACACTGAATTCATGAATTCTAGTTTTAATAGATTTATTCTAATTTTTTTAATGGAAGACCTCTCTTCGAAACAAGTCTGCCTTGTCTCATATTCCGGGGCAATAAACCGCCGAATAAATCTGTAAGAAACCCCGACACTAAAAGGTTGCACGTCAATGACAGAGAATAACCAGTCTCGATCAGTGTCCACCGAAACAGATTCGAATGGACGTGAAAGGAAATTTTGCAGTGAAAATGATATAATTGGATCAATAAAAGACACATTTGTTCCTTTTTTTAACATGGCAAGAAATAGAATAAGTAAAAGTTTATCGATGATTGCCATATGAAAGGCACGCTGACACTTATGAATAACCATGAACAGAAGAAATATATGAATATGCATTTGGGAATAGCAACGAAGATGATCAACAATAAGCACTACTTTCAACTTTCGTGAAAATTAAGACCACAGGCAACTGTTGTGAAAATTATGTTTCTTTGTTTGTTGTTTAACGCCTCACTCAGAAATATTCCAGCTATATGACGGCGGTCTGTAAATAATCGAATCTAGTCCAGACAATCCAGAGATTGACATCATGTGCATCGGTCCACGCATTTGGGATACAATGATACCAACCAAGCCTGACCACCCGATCCCGTTAGTCGCCTCTTCCGACAAGCATAGTTCCCTTTTACGGCAAGCATGGGTTGATGGAGACCTATTCTACCCCAGATATTCACGGGTCGTGACAATTATGGAAAACACCGCGTATAAAACCACATAATGATTCAGTTATACAGTAAACTACGGTTATAACGAACACGCTTATAACGAACTGACGGATATAACGAACTTACTTTTTGGTCCCGACTACTTGCTGTAGTCATGCTGTATATGTACTTATAACGAACTACGGTTATAACGAACTAAAATTAGTAGTCCCTTTGAGTTCGTTATAACCGTAGTTTACTGTATATCAATCTGGTTATTTCCCCTCTTATCCGCTTCATGTATTCCTGTCAACAGTATTAATTATCAAAGATGAATTGACCGCCTCTGAGGTCTGGTAGATGGAGAGCCTGCCCAGAGAGCGGAAGGTCGTAGGCTCGAACCCCTGGCAGCGTCATACTAAAAGACAGACTTAAAGGCGGTTCTTCCTGTTTCACTGCTTGGCGCTCATAAATGAGATAAAACTAGGACTGGTCGGCTCGGAGTGGTATCTGAGTGGGCTAGCGCTATAACATTCGTCACCACTCGCCCCTTTCCGTAACCACTCGCCCCTTTCCGTAACCTGCAAGAAGACTCGTCCCCCTGTCGATGAATGTTATGTGCGAAAATACGACAAACCAATCAGAATGCGCGTATGATTTCAAGTTCTTCGTCAAAGAATCCCTCAGAAATAATTTTTGATTTTACACATGTCTTGCATTTAAAAATATACCCAAGGCACAGTTAAATGTGTTCAAACATACTGTATAATTCCGCATGTCCAGATGTGCTTTACATTGCATCTGAAATATACATTATATATGGGGAAATATATGTGAACCATTACGCAACGAGTTGACAATTGTTTTAGGTATGCCCTTTTGCGCTAAGACGGAACCCGGTCGCAAAAATGGCCATGAGAGGGGCACGAGTCGCTATTCGGCTTGTCCCGGAATAACACGAGTTGGTCACGAATGGCGCTATAAAACACGCATTGGTCCGAACAAGCAGTCACACACGCACGCACGCACACACACACACACACACACACACACACACACACACACACACACACACACACACACACACACACACACACACACACACACACACACACACACACACACACACACACACACACACACACACACACGCACGCACACACACACTCACACGCACGCACGCACACAGAATAAATCCCAAAGGCATTTTACATACATATTCATCAGCTAGAACCTTCACAAAAGTATCCTATAGATGTCTAACAGAAGGGGCACGGGTGGCCCAGTTGTCTAAGGCGCCGCGATTCGCTGTGCAGAGTTGCGTCCCTTGGGCACGCCAGAAACCTATGATTGTGGGTTCGAATCCTGGTTCGCCCGATTATGTTTCTAGGTTTGTCAGCACCATATCCGTGCTCGTGGGTTTCACCGAAGTGGTAAACGTCTGAGACCTGCATCACTTGGGGCTTTCCTCCCACATTAAGCTGACACGCCGTGATATAACTGGAATAATGTTAAAAGCGCCGTTAAACCCAACTCACTCACTCACTCACTCACTAACTCCATGCCCAGATAGACAGGACCTTGAGGCAAGCTCAATATGGCCATTTTATTATCACGAAATTATGTTTAGGCCTCTGATGTTTCTACATCAATCCTCTGACATTCTAAAACTGTGTACTTGTGAGGTAAAATTGGGTTAAAAGTCGCGTTTGTGATTATAGGTCTTATATAGCAACGTGTGTGTGTGTGTTTTTTCAAACAGTGTGTAGGTGAAGACAGCAAACCATCCTATATTTGTGTTCAATAGTTGCCCAAGAATTTGTACTGAGTGATCGCCTGTTATTATCCAGTAATCCCCCAGATGACAGCCACGGGAACCAAGGGGGTTGGAGGTAGGACGGTGCATATGGTGACGTGTGGGAGCCATCTATGACACCACTAATTTGCTTGGTCATTCCTTTTAACAATCCCTACGTCAAATCGACTCGCCCACTCTGGTGCGTTCCCCGTGGGGATGTATAAATGACCGGGTCCCATACAATCCCGCCAGCAGAACATTAGCATAGGCCTAGGTTGTACCTTTCACAACTCGAGAACTTTGCAAGAAATTCCAAAATGAGATCCTCGGTATTCTTGGTAGTTTTGGTGGCATTTGTGCTGCTTTGTCAGGTGGTGGCATGTATGTCGGAGTCGGAAAAATCAGCACTAAGTGGGGTGAGTATTGTAGAGTGTTTTATCGATTACTTTCATCTCATTCAACAATGTACATTGGCACAGAGGGTTTCTTGTTTTAAAACATTATTCAGCATCATGCGTGGTCATATTTGACTTGGAATCATTGAGAATTTGCCCTTTTCATAGAGCCATCATTGAAATGAAGCTGCCACATTAAAAAAACTCATTTAATGATTTTCCTTCAGGGAATTCTGTTTCGATTTTCTTTGGTTTGGAACTACAGTCCAAAATCGTATCTTAAGCGGATCTAAGTAAAAAATCGCAAAAGATATGTTCAATATTTAAAAAATAATTATGATAGTTGTAATACAAAAAATGTAAAGATGCAAAATCTATAAAAGTAAATTAATGTAATTAATTTGTTTTTTTAAAATCACGTTTTCTTGTCGTTTGTGCAAATTGAAGGTACACTCCATGTAAAGAGATTCAGTTCTGGTATTTTTTTGGAACCGTTTGATAATGTGTGTGTATGGTGAGGGGGGGAGGGGGTGGGGGGGGGGGGGGGTGGGGGGGGGTGGGTGGGTGTCGAGTTTAGACACTTTTCAGCTATAGCTGCAAATCCAGATACTTTTATGAACAGATTTAACTATGAGCCGGCACTTTTTTAAAGAAAAACACCTTGCAACAATGTAGTTTTTGTGGCAGGTAATTTCTTTTTTTCCCAGCAGTCTCAGGTATAATTTTTTTTTTTTTCCGTCACACTACCAAATAACGCCCCCCCCCCCCCCCCCCCCCCCCCCCCCCCGAACGAAACTTTGGCATTTGCCTTTATGGAACGGTCAGATTTTGTAACCTGACCGCTTGGCGAAGTACCCCGAAGACGCGGATCGTTGCTCATGGAAATGATCACAGGTTTGTCTGGTTTAAACCCGATTGTTTACAGGCTGTCCTCGTATGGCAGGAGTATCGCTGGTGGGCGTTCGGCAACAAACAGTCACTTAGTTTTTAATGAAAATTGTGTGAATGGCAGGACACGCTTACCCTTTTTATAATTGATTTCATTGATCAATTCATATCTTTTTCATAACTATTTTATCTTTTATGCGCTTTTGAATCTGTTGCGGCAGATAATTGAGATTGATTTCGTTTCTGGCGTGAACGTTTTCAATTGCTCTAAACGGCCGCCCGCACTAACGCCTAAGTCAAATATCTTAGATGAGATAAACTGTGATATTGATAGGAATGAACCGCAAAAGAACTTTCACTTTAGTTTGAGTGAGTATGGTTTTACGCCGCTTTTAGCAATATTCCAGCAATATCACGGCGGGGGACACCAGAAAAGAGCTTCACACATTGTACCCATGTCGGAAATCGAACCCGGTTCTTCGGCGTGACTAGCGAACGCTTTAACCACTAGGCTACCCGACCGCACCTCTTTAACTTTAGGATCTGCTGGTTCAAATATTATAATCGCTCCAGTTATAATCCTTGGCGTGACACTAACATGCCCTCGCTCGTGGATACACCAATATGGTAAACGTCTTTTACCTGCGTTACATCGGGTTTTAGACACATTACTTTTATACGCCATGATGATACTGAAATTCTGTCCAAAAGGGCGTTAAACCAAACTCGCTCACCGAGTACAGCTGACACGCCGTTATAGAAATGAGTGAGTGAGTATGGTTTTACGCCGTTTTTAGCAATATTCCAGCAATATCACGGCGGGGGACACCAGAAATGGGCTGCACACATTGTGCCCATGTCGGGAATCGAACCCGGGTCTTCGGCGTGAAGAACGAACGCTTTAACCACTAGGCTACCCGACCGCCCCGTTATAGAAATGAAATGCTCTTCAAAGCGGCGTTTAAAGATGTCACTTTTCCCTTTCATCATAAGGTGCATATTCTCCCACACATAACATCTTTGTCATTTCCATTTATGAAACGTTATTGCACTACTTTATAGTTATATTTTTTCACATCAACTTTAAATGTCCACTGATTAAAAAGAGACACTGATGACGTTGACATTATTTGTAATTGTATTTGACAGAAACACCCCAAATCCATTTCAACTGTCTCAAGGACACGACGGCTATGACACAAACAGTACTACTTAAAAGGAGACCCAGACAGAACTGTTTCGATCTATCAGAATCTACAGCGGGCGAGTTCGTTTGTCTTGCTTAAACATTGGAACGTTCGACTGTCTGTGATGAAAATAACACCCTCTTTATTACAAAATTCTTCTCTGTTTTTACATTTTCAACATGCTTTGCGTGCAATATGGTTTAAAGGAATATTCTACTTACATTATTTTCACGTATGGTTATAAGCTCAGGCTATGTCGACGTTAAGGTCACATATGATGTTTTTGTTTGTTATTTAACGCCGCACTCAGCAATATTCCAGCTATATGACAGCGGTCTGTAAATAATCGAGTCTGGATCACACAATCCAGTGATTTACATCATGAGCATCGATCCACGCAATTGAGATGCGATGACATGCATCAAAAAGTCAGCGAGCCTGACCACCCGATCCCGTTAGTCGCCTCTTACAACAAGCATAGTCACCTATTACGACAAGCATGGGTTGCTGAAGACCTATTCTATGAGATAACTAGTGTTTCGAGGTAGAGAAGTTGATAGGTAAAATACATGTCAGCCATGATATTAATGTTTCCATATGCCGAAGTCAACAGTAGTTTCATTTACGAGATATAGAGGGTCGTGTGTAGGTGATGGAGTTAAATGTCTAACGCCGCTTTGAACATTATTTCCTATATATCATGGAGTGCCAGTTTAATGAGGGCTGAAAACAGCGCAAAATTGTTACGTTCTCAATGCCGCTCTTCTGTGGAATTTTAACCAAAAGATATACAACAATACCAACCACGATACACGAGACTATTAATATATTTGGAAAAGGACATATATTGTGATAAATTACTAAAAAAACGGTTACAATTATTAATGGCTTCAGTACTCTTGTAAAAGTCATCTCGGTGCATCATCATCATCATCATCCTTCCTGGAAACAGAAAGTTTATGTCGTGGTTACGACTACATCGCTGGATAATGACAGTTATATTCCTACACAGTTCCACATAAATTAAATTAAAAACAAATTCCAGAAAACCGTCTTTTCAGCAGGAACTTACGAAGCATGTGACGCGCTTTGAGACGTTTATTGTTTGAGTGCCTAGCAACAAAGGGAAATTCATCTTTACTGATTCAGTGCAACACGCCATAAAGTATTTTCTTCATCCCCATGCCGTTTTATTTCGTTTCACCACACGTTCGAAATCCCACTGAAACTATTCAATCATAATAAGCCTTTATTTTATATACTGTGAATGTGATGTACTCGCATGTGTGAGGAGATTTTGCATACGTTATGAGATTTATTTGCATTCACGTATTTGCCGAAAACTTGGTCTCTTAAAGTAGCTGTTCAGTGATTCGTGAGTATAAATATATTCTTGAATCAGCTTCCGATTTGTCAGGACTTTCTGGTGATATACTACGGTTATAACGAACTCAAAGGGAGCACTAATTCTAGTTCGTTATAACCGTAGTTCGTTAAAAGCATGTATACAGCAAATTGCCGGGATCAACACAACAGTTCGTTATATCAGTTCGTTGTGTTCGTAGTAGATGCGAACATGAACAACCCAAATACGTTGACGAGTTCGTTCAGGTGAACACTTGAACACTTAGCCTTTGCATGTGTTTGTGACTAGTGCCACAAGTGGAGCAGGATGCGCTCACCTTTACCTGAACACCGAAGTCATCACAATTTCAAAGTGATTCATTGATGCATGCTTATCGTCATACTTTGGACTCCGCTTTTAGACAAGAAATATCTTATGACCATATACATAAGACAATTAAAAACATCGTGCTTTGTCTTTTATCAGAAGCCCATTTAAAAAATGAACAGGTCGTCAGGCTGTTTTCTCAGCTTGCAGAAAACCAAATCGTTAACACGACGGCAGAGCTGTAGTATTGAAATGTAACTCTTCCGTTGAAATCCGGACAAAATTCATAGAATTAATATGAAGAGCTTATTACCGGACAAAATCTCAAAATGTTGATCTCCTGAAAACCCGAACGATTAAAATGACCCGAACGATAATGAGAATATTTGTTTAAATTGTGTGATTAGCATTTAAGTTTTAACTAGGGAAGAACTCACGAAAATAGTTCATTTCATGACCTAAATCAAATAACCAACCACTAATAGGACTCTGAACACCTTGAAGATCCAATTGCAATGTCACTATTTTCAGCAAATTCCTGTTTAAGGGAAATGAAAGGTAAGAAAGTGTACTTAAACAATAATTTAAGGGGAAATCAATGAACAGTAGATGTACCATAAAACATTATTGTTCTATTTGCAAACGTCATTGTGTTATATATTCATCTGAAAAGTGTCACCATAATGTGATTTGTACAGCAAATCATATTTCCCCCAAGGGATATACATTTCTATTAACACCACATGAATTCATTAATGTTGTAATTGTTGAATCAGGCTTTGATCATGCCATGGGCCTTATATCACATTGACAAATGCAATATTGGACGCTCCATTTGTAGACGATACATGAATCTCAACATTCCTCTTTAGAAACATAGGGTTTTATGTCAGTTTTATCCGTTTATTTGTTTACTTGAGAAATCCTTTTAGTTCAATGCCTGAATTGTGACAATAACATTCACATTGTTGACCGGTGTCGATTTATTTCCTTTTTCTCTTTCTTGATACCAACACACGAAATTACAATACGCATACGACCCGTGAAGATCCGGGGTAGAATAGGTCTTCAGGAACCCATGTTTGCCATAAAAGGCGACTTTGCTTGCCGTAAAAGGTGACTTACCGGATCGAGTGGTCAGGCTCGCTGACTTGGTTGATACATGTCATCGTATCCCATTTGCGTGGATCGATGCTTATGATATCAATTACTGGATTGCCTGGTCCAGATTCGATTATTTATATACCACCGTCTGGAATATTGCTGAGTTCGTC